AGGGAGACTTATTGGTGAGAGCATCAAGCGTTGATCGTAAAAACGGAAATGAATATCACGACAAAAAGTTCAATATTTAAAAACTTTTATAATTTTGTAATTAACTATACTTTAAACGCGTATAAAGCAATAAAACAATAAGAAAAGAAATAGCAAAATTTCTTAACACAAAGTAGAAGAGTGCGAACACAGTGCGCGTGCATATTTGCCAAACTTATGAATCTCGGGTATTGCTTATTGAGAACTAACATGTGGCGATTGCAAGGATTTTTATTAATTAGTGGGGTGGGTCTGCCAAAGGAAGAAGAGGTCGAAAAAAAGTAGGGACAGAAGAACAAGGTGACGGTAGCGGTCGTTGGAAGAGGCGAGCATTGACATAGGCGAACGTTGAAGCGGTCGGACGTTCATCATCGGACGATCAGAGAAATGGATGAACGGACAGGCCGTAGGCGGAATAGAGAGAAAAACAGGTGGACAGGTGCACAGGTGGGAGGACAAATAAACGAGATTGGGCTAAACTCTAGCCTGATGGTTTTCATGCTACTTTCGCTTTGAACAGCAACACAGATATATTCCCAAACATGGGTAATGGATATAAATAATTGAATGAACAATTTTTTTTTTTAAATTTAAAGTGAAATTTAGTTTTTTTTATGGAAAGAGTAAATTAACATGAACTATTTACATACTTATTTGCTCAGTCCTCGTCGTTATAAATGCAAAGAAAGAAAATAATATTGCAAATTCATATACGATGTGTATAGCTGAGCAAAACCTACAACTAAAAACCAAAAAAAAAAGAAGAATTCTAGAGTGAATTATAGTAAGTGAAGTGTCAATCTTAATTGAAATTCCTGGCACATACAATCATATACTTTAAATTAAAGAAATATCTGCGCTTTTTATTCTTAAAAGAATGTTTCGGTTGCCTAATAGCTGCGAATACTATTAAGCAAGTATTACTTACGTTCATTGTTCATCTTAGTCTCTTAGTGTGTGTATTAACCTTGAGCTTTATATAACATGTGGCCTTCAGCTTTTGTGATTTTGGGACTACGAACAGTTGACAGAGATATATATAGCAAAGGTAAACCAAAGGTAAAATCCAAAGTTGCGATCTTTGTATATCTCTGAACAGATTTATTTAGTAATCAAAGGCAAAGGATCGCGACTAACAACTCAATGATAGCAGACTCAAATCTAAAACGGGGCAGAGTTTTGAATACAGGCGAGCTTATGATCTCAATTATTCAGCAACATCTAAATCCGCACTTTGTAAATATGTAGACTTTTCATTATGCCCGACAGCGTATCCTTCTATTTGTCCGTCTGCCTGCCTATCCATCCGTTTGTCTCTCTTGTTTTCCTCTCTGCAGCCTACAGATTGCATGTCTGGAGATATTTATTTGAAATTTGATGCACTAATGTGAACGCTCTTCGGGCACTTCTTATATA